TTAAGTATTAACCTAATTTATTATTTTTGTATATTTTTATTTCAATACAATAAGTTGAATTTAAAAATGCTTTTAAATATACAATAATAAAGAGAATCCTTCAATATTTATCTATAAGTCCCTCGGCTACTTCAAACATGTTGAAAGTGCTTGATCTCTAGTTGTTTATTTTCTTTGCTGTCGCCTATCGTCGGCTCAATGAATCTATTTGAAAATATGTGATGAGATTTGAATTAATATTACTAAGTCTTAATAAACACTGATTGATTTTGTTTATTAAGTATGACAATGAACAAGTAAACAAAGAAAGGTCGGCCAGGTTCAACGATAAATTAATTAAACATTTGTCGTTAAGAACTTTTAAATATGAAATAATGTAATAATACTTGTGGAATATAATATTTTTCTTCACTCATATGGATACTATTGGATACTAGCTTATCTACGCATAGACTACAAAACGAAAAAGTATGCTATTGTGTTCAACTAAACGAATATATTTCATTTCCATTCTAGATAGTAAGAACACTGCAAAAAAATTTAATCCACCAATCACAGTTCATATTTTGGTTACCCGGCTACTATTATTTTTAAAATTTTACATAAGTTACTATTCTGTCAAACTAATTGTCAGTATATTTTTTAGTTATAGAGATTAATTATAATTCTTGTGTAGAATCGATAAATAATAGCATTTTTATATTTAATTGGTCTACATTTTGAAAAAAAAATAAATTTTAATCAAAATATATGAAACTAATTTAATTACGAGTATTAAAACTAAAATCATAAAAGTGGCGGTAGAGCTGAGGACAGAGCATCTGTCTTCCACGCGAATAGCCCAGGTTTGAATCTGGACTGGGGACTTTTTATTATTTTATTTTGTCTTCTATTATAATTTCATAAATTTATAAATTTTCGTTAGTGGGTCGTAGAAAAACTATACTGTACAACTCGAGTGGATTGTCCATGTCGTACTCAGACGATTAAGCATTTCGCCTACACCGTCGTGTTCAAACTTCGTCTTCGTGTGATATGCCCATCATATCTACTCTTGTTCTCGCTCTTGTTGCAAAAACTACTATTTTCTAGGTCCTCATTATTAGCTAAGGCGTAATTGAAATTCACTTTACAAAAATAAACTTTATTAATCAATAATGGTTGAACAGCTAATAATGAATGAATCAATGCCGGTCTATATAATTTCCCTTTCTTTATTGGTAAAACTGCGTCTGTCCACTCATCGAAATATTAGCAGAATATCTTGTGTCAGCGAAAGACGCACCGCACCCAAAAATACTACAGGGAGTGTATGTAATAAATACTGGATATTAGTTTATCTACGTACAGACTACAAAACAAAAAAGTCTACCATTGCGTTCAACTGAACGAATATATTTCATATTCATTCTACCTAGTAAGAACACTGCAGAATAAATGAAATCCATCCACCACAGTTCATATTTTGGTCACCCGGCTACTATTAGGGATGACAAACTATTAGTCTATCGATAGTTTTTATATTTTTGATATTATCGATACCTGTAACAAATATCCATAGTTCTTCTTCTCTAGTTACTATGACCACTTGTCGTCAGACATTCAGCCAACATAAAATATCGATAGTTCCAAAACAATCTATATGAAGAAATCTAAGGTTATGTTGTCTTGTTGATGTTGATTATTCTTCAAAGAAAAGCTGGCCCTCCAAAATATTGGGAGGAGAACAAGATACAATTTCCCAATTTATATCAGTTAAGTTTGAAGTAATTGTCTATACCTGGGCACCTGGTTTAGTTTTAACAAACCAAAGGAATAGATTAAAGTCAGAACACTAAAATAAACTCATATTTAAAAAGCAAAATAAATGGTTTAATGACCTAAACTTTTAAGTTCCCAGATAGCACAGGACGTCCTATAGACGTCCTATTTTGGTCCTTTTTTGGTCCGGTTGGTCCGGGACCTAAATAGGACGTCCATTGGACTTCCGATTACCGTAAACACTAGGACGTCCTTCGAAGGACGTCCCCTTGACGTCCTATTTTGGTCCCGTTTCTGATAATACTGATTCGGGACTTTTATAGGACGTCCAAGGGACTTACAGGTTAAGACAAAACGTTTAGTTTTCGGTCCGCGTCCAGGACGTTAATGGGACGTCTATGGGACTTCCTACTTGACATCGTTAAACCTTGAATCGATAACGAAATTCTACGATTCGGGGTTTCGGTTTTGCGAGAGGAGAACAGAAAACCTAACCTATTAATTAATTTCAAATGAACAGCAGCAAAAATGCTACCATTAATTAAAAAAATTTCAGATTAGCTAGCTTATATAAGTGAACGTCAAATATTAGAAAAACGAAGAAGAAGAAGAAGAAGAAGAAGAAGAAGAAGAAGAAGAAGAAGAAGAAGAAAAGAAGGTTATAATTTTATATTATTTGTCATTTTTTGACGTTGGTGGGAAAAAGTGAAAGTGATTTTTTTGTTAGGCTTTGGCATTTTTGGTGGGAAAAAGTGAAAGTAATTTTTTTGTTTGGCTTTGGCATTTTTGGCGGAAAGAAAAGAGAAAAGACTTCGAGTGTTTTGTGAAGATCTCGATAATACCGGAAAGTGAATAAAAAAAGAGCAGGTAAATATATTTTCAGTAAATATATAAAATAAATTGTTCCCTCAAATTCATTGAACTAGTATATTTCCGAGATATGGAATTGCAGATATTAAATGTATGTTGAAACGAAAATTTGTTGTTACCCGAAGGCATCAAAACAGAATGATCAGAAAAAATTTAGAAAACATTTTAAATTTAGAAAACAGACCTGTAAATGTCGAGGTACAGAATGTTTCTGAACTTTCTTTGGTAAATTACGAAGTACAGGATGCTTCTAAATGTTCTGAAAATATGGAAATTGAATTTGATGATAGCATTAATTTAAATTGTTCTGACCAGAGAGAATCTATTCTAAAACAGGCTAACACTGACCTAAGTAGGGAAAATGAAAATTTTACTGATATGTTATGCAATTGGGCAGTTAAATATCAAATTCCTAATAATGCTCTGACTGATCTTTTACAAATTCTTAACACTCTGCCAGATTTAAAATCCTTGGTTAAGGATGCACGGAGTTTATTACACTCACCTCGAATTGTTACATTGAGGGATGTTCCACCTGGGAAATATTTTCATTTTGGCATAGAGACATCAGTACTGAATTTATTAAAGAATATTGACCAACTTATAGAATTCAGTTGTGTTGAAATTTGTGTAAATGTGGATGGCATACCTTTGGCTAAAAGTTCAGGTAGTCAGTTCTATCCCATCTTATGTAATTTGTATGTAAATCCAAAAGAAGTTGCTGTTATTGGTATTTATCATGGTTTCAAAAAACCCAATGATTCAAATGAATTAATGATCGATTTTATAACAGAAGCCAAACTATTAATAGAGAATGGGTTTTTATTTAAGGGTCGTAGTTATCCCTTTTCCATTAATGCATTTATTTGTGATGTACCTGCAAAGTCATTTTTAAAACATACTGTCGGGCATAATGCATATTATGGTTGTTCAAAATGTCATACAAAGGGAAAATATTCACTGCAATTTAGGAGAACTTATTTTCCTGCCACTGAAAAATTACAGATCATGTCTGATGAAAGCTTTAGAAACAAAATTAATGCAATGCATCACACTGGAACTTCTGTTATAGAGGAATTGTCAAATTTTAATATGATAAATGGGTTTCCTCTAGATTATATGCACTTAATTTGTTTAGGGACTGTTAGAAAATTATTGAATTTGTGGTGTTTCGATACAAAATTAAAAAATAAATTATCTATCAGAGATCTTAGTAAAATCTCCAATCTTTTGCTCTCTCAGAGAAAGAATATACCGTCTGAATTTGCACGAAAGCCTAGATGTTTACAAGAAATTAAACGTTGGAAGGCAACTGAACTTCGTCAATTTTTATTGTACACAGGACCTGTTGTATTAAAATCTGTATTGCCTTCAAATAAATACAAAAAATTTTTGTCTTTATTTATTTCTATTTTTATATTATCAAATCCCAGATATGTTCATAGCAATATAGAATGTGCTAAAACTTTGTTAAAATATTTTGTTGAAACCTTTCAAGTACTTTATGGTCATTCTCTTGTATCTCATAATATACACAATATGTTGCATTTATGTGATGATGTAGAACATTTGGGAGTTTTGGATAAATTTAGTGCATTTCCCTTTGAAAATAAATTACAACAAATAAAAAGGCTTATACGAAAAGGAGATAAACCCCTCGCTCAAGTTGTTAAACGTTTATATGAAATTGAAAAAAATAAAAAAAAAGAACATATTTCTAATATTCATGATTTTAAAGTATCTGGTGAACATAATCGTGGCCCTTTGATTTTAGATACTAACTGTCCACAATATATAAAACTACAATTTATTAATTTCAATTTGAGAATTTGCAAACCTGACAATTGTGTCAGATTAAAAGATGATAGTATTGTTTCCATTCAAAATTTTGCAACACAGCATAATCAAATAGTTATTATTGGTTTTAAGTACCTTGTCAAAGAAAACTTGTTCACATATCCATGTCACTCCTCTGATTTAGATATACATATTGTACATAGCCCAGGACCTATTCAGATATTTTCAGTAGATAAAGTTGCCTGTAAATGTGTTAGATTAGAAATAGATAGTAATACATTTGCAACATTCCCTTTATTACATTTTGAATAAGGAATTAATAGTAGGTGACATAGTCAGTTAGCTGTATTCTTATGATCCTATATTATGTACATATTTTTGGTATTAATTCTTTATTAAAAAATTTAAGTCATATTGACATGTCCATAAAAAAAAAGATTCTTAATGCACAATTTTTATTTTTTATTTATTTTATTATAATCCACTTATTAAATTGTATGAAAACTAATATATCACATGTATTATAAGTAACAATTAATTATTTATTTATTCTTGCTCTTTCATTATTGAGAATGGTGAATACATGGACAGTGGTAGAATTTTTGGACCAGTCGGTCGAGGCAGTTCCCTCCCATTGGATCACGAACAATAAATGTTCTTGGCCACATTATCTTAAAGAACAATTGCTAAAAGCAATCAAACACTGTGAAAATCCTAAAGACGATTGGACCCAACATGAAGTTACAATATTTAGAAATGCTACATATGGTTTTGATACATATTCTTTTTTTCTTATCCTTTTAATTAAACCAATACTTTTAGGTGATTATAGTTTAGCTAGAAGGAAAGCTAGAAAAGCGGAGGACACTTCTGATTTGAATTCAGAGTTGGAATCTTCAAAACGAATGCCAAAAGTGAACCCTCGATTTGTACGCTCTGAATCATCAGAATCTGATTCAGATATAGAGAGTCAAAGTAGTCATAAAGAAGTTGTCAAATTCCCACAAATTTCTATATTCAAGCCTCGTGAGTCATTGGTTAATGAAACTAATAGTAAGTTTTTAAATTTTATGTATTTTCCATTATGCTAAAATGACAATGGTTATATTTTTTAGGCTGTGCAGATTATGGGCTTCCTTCAATACCAAAAATAGGAAAAGAAACTACAAGTAAATATATTATAATTTTGTTTTTTTTGCTTTTTTATAAAGATTATGTTTAAGGGGCCAGTTTTACAATGTCGGAAAACTCAAACCAGGAGTGTAGCTGCTGTCCAGTTCATAAAAAGGCCGGCGACAATTCAAATGGTAATACATAGGGTCGATTACAATAAGAACACAGCTATGTTATGTCTTGGTGGAGTAATTTGTTAGATATTGCCGCATACCTAGAGTAGTTAATATTATAGGAATATAGGATTTCTTTTTTTTTATACCAAACAACTTATTCTTTATTTATTGATAGTAATAGACAATATATCCCTATTTGAAATTCGAAATAGTGGTTGTAACTCAGCTGTGTTCTTATTGTAATCGAACTTTACCTTTTATTTTTAAAATTTCTTAATATATAGGTATTAATTTATAAATGCCATCAGATTTTAAAATTAAATTTTGTTACAAAATAATGTTGAATGAATAATCTTTTCATTATAGGGGTCAAGTAAAAAGAAAACTGTACCTTTTATTTTCTTATTTAGACAATATTTGGAAATATTTTTTATAAATTGCATCTTTGAAAATTAATTTAGTCATATTTTTCTTTATTATAATTTAATACATTCTAGAGAGCTAATTATGATTGAATTTATTGATCTTTTGCTGAGGCAGTGTGTTAGGTGTACTTAGTTCAAAAATTTTTGATCAATTAATCAACAGAATAATTTTATTTCAGGATTACTACAACAGATATATAGAAAAGTGTCCTTATTGGAATTAAAGATTAATGAATTAACTTTTAAGATTGATAACATGTCTGTCAGTCCAGAAGTTAATTTGGATATTTGGGCCAATTTCAAACTACCTTCATTAGATGTATCTGACTTTGAGGAGTTTGAAGAATATTTGAATGTTCCAGAAAACATCAAACAGTCTGTGAGTATATTATTGTTATATGGATTTTTGAGATTAAAAATGTGGACTTCACTTTTCCACAAAAGCTTCAATCAAGTTTAATAATTAAGTACAAAAGTATAACTGACATTTTATATTCATCTATATTTTTTAGGCACTCTTTCTTGTAAAAGTAGGAGGCGACTCGTGTGATGAATTTGTGAAAAGAGCACTTATGAAATTGGTCACTTATCAAGTGGCTTCCAACTTTAGTTTTCTTGGTATGAAGGGGAAAAAAGTATTTAAAAATTTGAACATCTTCAAACTTCTACTAAGTGAGTAAAATTAATTTTTAGCTTACCCTATAACTACTGTCCACTAACAACGGTGTTTATTGTAATACTTCCCATAAATCAAAAGTTTTTGTAAAATACTCTATAATGAGTGAGACACGTTTATTTACATAATTTTTTTAATTTTATTTAAATCTTTATTACTTGCAAACCTAAGTTCTGTTCTGCATCACAACACAAGTGATACATAAAAAATTGCTTATATTATAATTATTTTTATACAAAAAAACATAATGTTTCTGACTTCATCTCTTTTGAAAACATGTCAAAATTTGTAGGTGCTGGAGAACACACAAACTTCAAAGAAAAAGAAATTGAAGATAGTATAAAGAAGTTTTTGAAAAGATCTAAAGAAAGGGCAGTGGCTGAAGAGAAAAAAATGAATAATAATTATTAACATTTTTTGTAGTTATGTAGTTTTTGTAGAATGTAGTTTTATGTAATATACTTTAACGTTTCGGTAACGCATTTGTGTCAAGCAGCTGGTATTCAATTACAAGCTTTTAAGTGGTTTAGTGACACTTGGCTTCAAATCCTAGAACAAATCATGTGAATTTTTGATTAATTTGCATAATTCGTTGTAGGATTTGATGGGTGCCGTATCAGCAGAAATTTAATTTCTGTTGATATGACATTCAGATTATAAATCGTCATGTGTTACCGTTTCGATGATGGTGGTGGGGTTTTCCGGGTTTTCCTCACCTGTAACTCAAATGGCACCATCAAACATCTATAAGTCGCCCCGGAGCGCAACGGCGTTGTTAATTAAAGCTCTTAATATTAATATTTTTGTTATTATTACCCTAGAACACCTAATTTATGTCTAATTTACGTGCCCAGGACATCTCGTGAAGGTCTGGCTGAGGTCATATAAGAACATCTCTATGGACGTCTCTGTGAGGTCCCATTGGGACGTCCCTATAATGTCCCTTAGGGACTTCCCTATGATGTCCCTTAGGGACGTCCCTATGATGTTCCTTAGGGACGTCCCTATGATGTCCTTTAGGGACGTCCCTGTGATATCTCTCCGGGACGTCCCTGTGATATCTCTCCGGGACGTCCCTATTATGTCCCTCCAGGACGTCCCTATTATGTCCCTTCGGGACGTCCCTGGGATGGACGAGAACGGGACATTAGGACGTCCAGTGGACGTCGGATAGACGTCCCGGTACCGGAAAAGGACGTCCCTGGGACGTCCTTCATGTCCTTGAAGGACGTCCTTCGGACGTCCATAAGACGTCCATGTGCTATGTGGGTTACTGTTATATTTTTAAATGTTCTAAGAATTTGTTTTATTTTGTATCTATAAATTAACCAAAGATAAAATAGTAGTAATTAATTGTTATTATTATTTTATTTTATTTTATTTTTATACCTATAATTTTTTACGTTTACTTGTCGAAAATCATTTTGTTTTTTATAGTATAGAGTTCAGCCTAGTTGTGTTGTATTTTATATTTTTTTAAATAAAAAATACCACCAATATAGATTTAAAAACATTTAAAATATATATTTAAAGAGCAAACTATCGATAGTACAATCGATAGTTGCTAACGATAGTTAGGTCATACTATCGATAATTTTTTTTTTCGATAGTATTGTCAACCCTAGCTAATTGTCAGTATATTTTTTAGTTAAGATAAGTATACATAAAAATAAGTTATTCTTGTGTAGAATCGATAAATAATAGCATTTCTATTTTTATTTCGTCTATATTTACAAATAAGTCATAAATTTTAATCATACTATATGAAACTAATTTAATTACGAGTATTAAAACTAAAATTGTTCTCAAACACAGTGGACGAATTAATTTTTCAAGAACACGTCGCGAGTTTATAACAACCTCTCAGTTGATCGAGTGTTACTTGGTTACGTGAAGTGGCTACAATGTTGCCAAGTTGTAATAATTTTACGAAACTACTCGTCAACTGCTTTAAAAATATTTTTATTTTAAAAATCTATATCTTTACTAAGACGGTCAAAAAAATTCAGCGATTATTAATAAAATTTTATAACTTCTTGATTTATTTAACATTAGTTTTTAAAAAATATGGTAAGAACCGTTTTCGAGATATCTTGAAATAAATGCATTGCTTGTGTACATGATAGGCTTCAAGAGTGTTAATTATGCACATTTTTATGGTTAATATCTCGTTTCACAAACGGTCAAAAAATCAAATTTTTTAGTTACGTAAACGACACTTTCATAAAACTTATATTTAAATTTTATTGAATTCTTAAGAAAAGCCGTTTACGAGTGAACTACCTTAATAAACATAAAACAATTTTTATAATTCTTAGATTTTTGTTAATGGGTCGTAGAAAGAATATACTGAGCGACTCGAGTAGATTGTCCGTATCGCACTCAGCCGATTGAGGAACCAAACTTCGTTTTCGTGCGATATGGCCATCACATCCACTCTTGTTGCACAAACTACTATTGTTTCAAAAGAATGCAGCTTAGGCATAATAACAAAAAAACGGGTGTAGATAATTTAACGGCACACTATTGTAATTTCGTAAGCCATTGGAGATATAGTCAGTTAAATGGAAAAAAAGTTATGAGACTTCTTTACTGACACTTTGAAGTTCGAGATATCAGGATCGGTTTCCAAGATATTTGAGGAAAACTAAATAAGTCAAGTTTCTTTTTTTTGGCAATGTTTCCTTTATTGCCAAAAATTATAAAAAAATAATATGGAGATTTTTATTTAACTTATTTAACTTTAAAAGTTTCGGGTCTGAAGGGCCACCATCAGATTTTTTTAGAAATACGGACCTATATTTTTTATTTAATTTTTTTAAAGTAACTCTAATTCCTAATACAACTATGTAATTTATAATAATATTTTTAGACGTTTCGAAATTATAACATTATTATGGAAATAATGGAATTAAACAAAAAAAAAAACAATAACAGCACTAGAAGCATTTTAAATGTAGGTAATACAAATTCTAGTTCTATCATAAATGTTCAATACCCTCATGTTCATGGTATCATAAATTAATTCCCCAAAATAATTAAGGTACATTTGAGAAGGCGAGACCGATTAAGGCAACGGTTTCTTCACGATTGTACACATGTACTTAGGTACATAAATAAGATTTGGGAGAGCGCGACCGATTAAAGAGAGGCGAGAGCACTTTTAACACGGCAAAATTTACTGCTTGCTGCCTGTCGCTGTCGTCTTACTCGGTCTCGCTTTCCCAAATATTTCCTTTACCTGGCTTATTGATCGGGCAATCATAATAGACGTAATATTCTTCTGGAAGGCGTTTTTAATTTCTTATTCTTAGTTCTTCTTTATTTTCTGGAATACCGTTATAGAAGATTTTTTCAAGTAATTCTACAAAAAACAATCTAATGGATTGAGATCCGAAAATCTTGCAGGCCATATGGTTTATGGTTTTATAAGTGCCCAACCAGTTTCTCTGAAAGTTTTAATTTAGATATTTCCGAACTATTCTATCATGGGCCCACAACTATCTTACATGAAATATCTAATATTTTATTACTCAGAGGCATCCCATCAAGTAGATAGTAGATACCGGTTCAGCATAAATTATTTCTAGAAATAACGAACCAATAATAATTCTACCATCATTTTTATATTTTTATGTATATGGACTAATATTGGTATCATCATTATTTTCTTATAACCATGTAATTAAGAAGTTATTATGTAAAATAGTTTAAATATTAAATAATAAATGGTACATTCTGTATACTCGCAATAATAATTATATTTATCATCGGGTCTGGATTACTATATTAATTATACAATTCATGCAGATTAATTTATTTTTCAATTATGTTAATTACTCTTAAGTTAAAACTGAAAAGGAATCTGATTTATTTGAAAATTATTCTTAACAATTTCATGAAACAACAACCCAATTATACCACATATTAACATAATTAACTAATGAATTTTATTAAATAAATTTAATACCTACATGAAAGTTATTTTTTTAAAGAAATTATTTTATTATAGAAATTCCTTAATAATAAACACATTGTATCTTACATCAATGATATTATAGATTTCTAACTATTGCGACCGTAATAAAAATGAATAGAAAAACAATAGGTAGACATTTTTCGAGGTATTTGTATTGTCAGGATACAGAACAATTAAGTATTTATATTTTTATTCCAATCTCAAGTGAAGGACGGCATCGGGCTATATCTCGAGAGACGGTATATTTGAACAATTTCGTAGTTTTTTTTTTTAACCGTTAATAGAAAATGTTATTGAGTTTGTTTGACTTTTAAACTTGTCAATATGTTGCGTAAAATATCATTTATAAAGTATAATTAATAATATTTTTTATAAAAAAAAATAATATTGTTCCAGATAAACTAATCAGTTTTTAAAAGTGTTCGAAGTCGTCTAAATTTATATACTATGCATCTAATTTTTTTAATTAATGATATTATGTACGAGAACCAGAACCAGAACCTGTCAATTTCAATTCCCAGATATCTACAACTAATTGTTTCCTGGTATTTCTAATTTATTATGAGTTTGAAATAAAGATTTTGAAAGTTTGGAAGTTTTTTTTGTTACTTGAAATGGAAATCTAATGTTTTTTCGAAATTAATTGTTAAGAATATTTTGTCAAACCAATTTTTTATAGTGACTAGACCTTCTATCGACTTTCTCTTACCCGTTTCCAAGATTTATCCGATTATTGTACAACGGTATTATCAGCAAAAGACGATAAATATAGTGCCATTGAATCTTATCTCCAGAAGACCATTAATATATATCTAAAAAAGAATGAGCCCCAGTACTGTGCCTTGTCGAACACCGTATGTTTCAATACATGGATCGCTTACCTTATCTTATATGTATACTGAACTCTGTTATGTAGGTAAGCTTTTATTATATTTGAAGTTATACTCTTCTGAAACCAAGATCCTCGAGTACACTGATCAGTATTTTATGATCGACGGTATCAAAAGCCTTGGCAAAATTTAAAAAGATCTGCACGCTCATCAATTAGGGATACGATATGCATTTTGCGCTATGAGACGTACGCATCGGTATATAATTCGTGCACAAATAAATCAGGGTTCAGTTTTTCGTGAGAGAATAGGATTTTAGATCGAATTTAAAGGAATTTTAGTAGAAAAAAATTAGGGTTTTTGTTAAATATCTCAGCAACTTTTTGAGCTAGGAAGATACGGTTTGCGGCGTTGAAGTTTTTTCTAAGAGCTCTATGAAATGGTATATATAATTAAAGGTAATATTTCTAATTTCTCAAATGTAACCAATTTAAAAATAAATATCAATAAAAAAGAGAAAATCTCTAAGTTCCCGTGCCACAGCAAAGTAGAGCGATCGTTTCCCTCCTGAAAACAACTACTAATTTGGCTAATACCGTAAC